AACAGATTGAGTAGCCTTTCTGCGAACACGGCCAATATATATTCGACCAGAACCAGGTTATAACTTTTATTTGACCTCATTTAATGATGCAAAATGATAAATTTGGTCAGCAAGAATTAGGTCTCTAGATCTAAATCTATCCATTAGGATAAACATCATTTAGGCAGCCTTTTATGTGTCCATTATGAGGAGTTTACTAACACATTAAATTAGATTTTTAATAAATTATATGAATTGTAAAGGCATTTGGATCATTTAAAAAATGTAGAATCGTATAACAAAGTTAATCAATTTCAGCCAAAGCAGGATGTGTTAATTTATCAAAATCTGCTTGAGAGGAAAGGCGGCTTTTAAATAAATTTAGAAAGCATATGTCAAATGAAATGCGAAATGACGGAGAAATATTTAATTATGTTTTAAATATGGCAAATNATAGTCTCAAGGACAAAATATTTGTAGATGGATTAGATTTTTTTTTTCAGTAGATAAATAAATGTAAAATTTGTTTTAAGAAAATTTTAAAAAGAAAATTGCGAAATTATCACATCTATAATTAATTAAAAAAAATTGGTGGCAAAGGCGTTTCTAAAAAGTTTGAGTCCACCATTTTATAGAAGTATACAATTGTTTCAAAATTGCAAATATTTATATCTGTAGGGTGGTACATCAGTACACAATTGCTCTGTAATTTTTCGAGATACGAAAATACATATATTTTTTAATTTGACGTGAAATTCTGTCTAATGTTATAAGTTGTTTTATATTCGGTTGCAGCTTTGGCAAATTATATGCAGGGTGTCTCAATATTCCCTCTACATAGATTTACCATAAATTCTTGGGGTCAAAATAGAACTTTTTATTAAATCTCTGTTCAAAGTTACTTCTGTCAGCCGCTAGAGAGCGTCAAACTGGGTATTTTTTTCCAAATAACTCTAGAACGCTTTGTTGGATCTGAATGAAATTTGGTTTTGATAGTATAGTCTTTCCGATAACAACTGAAGAATCAGTATGTATGTATGTACCAGGTCCGGTCGCATACGCAGCAACTCGGCATTGAAATATTTGAAAAACTTGTTCCCATATTTATTTAGCCATACCCATATACAGGTCTGGTGGAACTAAACGTGGAGGTGGTAGAAATGTATACGCCCAGTTGAGGAATGCGAGCGCGGGCAAATGAAATACAAATTCAGTTGCATTGGGCTACTATGCAATAAATCTCAGCCGCTGACAAGTGGTCGAGAAATTGCCCAGCAGTGCAGTGCAGCAATGCGGAATTTGGTGTGATTCAGGTAATTTTAATTGATTATAGGCACCTTCTATTAATCATTGATATTACAATTGCGAAAGGGAGAAATAATATTACAACATGGCATTTTGGAGACCTTTTGAAACGGAACAAAACGAAATTTACTATTAAAATTGTTTGAGGACGTAAATAATTAAAATATGTTGTTGGCCAAATCAACATATAATAGGAATTTTCTGCACATTATATACAAATTATTATAATTTTTTACCTTTATCAGAAAAGTTTTTTAGGGATGCTTATGAAACTCATTAAATTTTATTGCCAGACGTTTTTTTACATGTTCAACTGACTTCGGAAAGACTATACATGTGTGTAGTTATCACTTTCTGACATTGTAACCGAAATTTAAGCTGATCTTACAACTTCAGTTCTTATTTTATTAAACTATAGAGCCTTCGTAAATGTTTACAGGTCACGTGATTCGTTGACAATGATTCGTTCACAATGAACAATGACAAACCGTTTAGAGATAATGCGATCGCTGATTGGTTGAATATTATCTCGTGAAAAATTATACCAATCACAAACGGTGAAACAAAATATTGTGTTTTAATGTAATCTTGATCTTTAAATTTAATTGCCAACATGCCAAACAAAATTAATGGTCACGTGGCTCGTAATCATTTATGAAAACTATGTATAAAGGCTTTTTTCAAGTACCTTATCTCTTAAAAATTTTTCGTATTCTAACGGTTCTTTCATAAATAATTATTTTATTAGTAATCACCAATAAATTTTCGATACAAATCTGATTAAATGTCATCATAAATTTTGATTTACTGGATAATGAAAAGGAAAACAATGTTTAATAGAGTTCAATAGCTTATCAATTCATTCATGAAAATTATTGGACATGAGCCCTATTTTCAGCAGCACATAACTTAATAAAAGATAATAATTATAAAATATTGTACTTATTCAAGATTTTATGAATTCTGTGGATTGTGACTATCAAATTTTAAATTTCTGTTATTAATCTTATTTAAGGAGCATACAAAATAAGTGTGATATTGTGCTTTTTTTGACTAAATCATGTGTTAACAATGGTGACCTTTTCCAATCAATTTCGTGGAAGAATATAGCTATGTTCCTGAATCCAACTAAATGCTGTTTTCGGTTTTATTGTGAAATAAATAAAAATTCTTAATATAAACTCAAGAACTACATTTAGACGAATTTTTCCAATACCCTGTAGAAGACTCCTTAAACTTTGAGCATGTTTCTAAATTGTGAAAATATACTTAATGCTAATGTTAATTCCTTGGTAATTCCAGATTTTCCAGAGCAGTCGTATGGACACCACGCTTTAGTACTGAACATGTATTTGTATAAAAAAATAATCATCGAAATATTACGATGTAAAATTTGACAGGAGTGTTTCGGATCAAACCTGAATACCTTTCGTTAATAGACATACAATATCAAACGAAAAAAGTACCTCAAATTTAAGTGTAATAGACTGTTAAAAATTATTTTATTAGAAATTTGCATACATAGAATTATATTTGACATAACAGATTGAGTAGCCTTTCTGCGAACACGGCCAATATATATTCGACCAGAACCAGGTTATAACTTTTATTTGACCTCATTTAATGATGCAAAATGATAAATTTGGTCAGCAAGAATTAGGTCTCTAGATCTAAATCTATCCATTAGGATAAACATCATTTAGGCAGCCTTTTATGTGTCCATTATGAGGAGTTTACTAACACATTAAATTAGATTTTTAATAAATTATATGAATTGTAAAGGCATTTGGATCATTTAAAAAATGTAGAATCGTATAACAAAGTTAATCAATTTCAGCCAAAGCAGGATGTGTTAATTTATCAAAATCTGCTTGAGAGGAAAGGCGGCTTTTAAATAAATTTAGAAAGCATATGTCAAATGAAATGCGAAATGACGGAGAAATATTTAATTATGTTTTAAATATGGCAAATACATGAATGATAAAAACGAAAGTTTTAAAGGTTAGAGATTCTAAGCAAATAAGTACCATGTTTCTCTATTAATATTGCATTAGTAAAATACGCCTTGGAAGAGTGTAAAATATTTTTTTATGTTCAAATAGAAGTCAGACATTAAATTTCGAGATAGAAAACATCTCGATAATTTATCTGCTAGATAATCAACATGTTGATCCCAACATAAAGTGGGGTCCATAACAACACCGAAGAATTTTAAACTTCGTCACTGTATTTTGTTCAAAAAATAACATGATGCATTTTTACATATAACTTGTTCGTAGCTAACTAATTCGAAGACCTGATGCGCATATCCCATTTTAGTTTATCCAGTTATTATTACTTATATTTAATACTGTTGTGTCAGCTGCAAACAGCGCTATTGATAATATTTGGAAAGTCATTCCCGTAAATTAGAAACAATAATGGCCGTAAAACTGATCCCTGTGGGACTTTGAGTGGTGTCGTTGGAGTACTATTATGTATTGTAATTTGTTCCTCTTCTCTTATACAGGGCTGGAAAATCCACATGGTCCATCTGCCTTTACAAAATAAAGTAAAGAAATCCGTGCGATAGACAAGGATGGCTATAGCGAAGACGTTTCATAATCTGAATAGTCATCGCCCGTTTCGTGTTAGAAGTAACATGTAACCATCCTTGTCTATCGCACGGATTTCTATGACTTACTTTATCGCTCTCACGTAACGGCCGATGTACCATGGGGACTTTTCGAACCTGTATATGAATGCAAAACTTTTTCCGCTGCAGGCTGGATGCCGTATAGATACAGCTTTTGAATAAGAACATTATGTTGCACGCAATCAAAGGCTTTCGACAGACTGCAGAAAGTATACTTCCAGCTAAATTTAACATCTCAAATGATTGCAGTCTTTAGATCACAGCATCAATCGCATCGGTTGAAGATTTAACAGCGTTAAGTCGCAAAAAAATATTTTCTTCAGAGAAATTAATAATGACTCATATATAAACTTTTATATTACTACTTCCGGAATAAAACAGGTTAAAAACCTCACCCGCTATATGACAGAACGAGAGTTATTGCCGTCTTTTTAAGGAACTACTATCGATGTTTTAAATCATTCTGAACAACTATATTTATTTATACTAACTGTAAGATTTGAATAAAAGTTAATAACACCTTGCATATATTTTATGTTAATATTTATGCAATATACAGGGTGATTCACAAACGGTGACCAAAAATGAATCCTCGTATTTTTTGGCTTTCGTATTTTTGGTCTTTCGTATAAAGTTTTTATCTATCTATCTTCGTTAAAAAGATACAGGGTGTTAAACTTAAAAATATATTTTTAAATTTTTTAAATAATTATTTAAAAACTAGCAAGTGTAATAATTTGAAATTGGGCACATGTGTTTATGTAAACATTGTCCAAAATCTGAAACCTTTTTTAAAAGAGGCCTGATTTTCGAGTAAAACTTAAAAAAACGAACTGAAANAGTTATCTCAGAAAGTTTTAAAGCTATCTGAATTCTGAAAGAACCAGGTAAAAGGTGATAAAAATCTGCACACTGAAAATTTTTTTCAGAAAAACAAGAAACACAGATCTCATAAAATTTAAAGTAGATTAACATCCCAAAGTTAAAAAAATGAAGAGGTCCATTTTTTTGCTCGTTGAATCCATACCAATTAATATTTTTAAATTTTTCAAAAATGTGCCTTTTTGGCTTACCGCGGACTATGCTTATTATAGTAAATAGCAAATACGGGAACGTAAATGTAAACGAGAAACGAGTTATAGAAGAAGATAAAATAGAAGTTGTTTAACGGTTTTTTGATATATTTCGAAAAGTAACAAAACAATTGATACAAAAAAAATCAGTAAATAGATCTTTAAAGAACCTACAACTTTCTCATTTAAAATGTTTTTGATCGAAGCTATAGTTTTTAGTCACTTTAGAAAAACTATTTTTTGCAACTTTGTGCGAATTTTTTTAGCCATGTTCGCCATTTTGGATCGAGTTTAAAGAAGAAGAAACTCAATTTAAAATTTAATTTCCTATACGGTCATTTTTTTTCCAGGTAATAATTTCTGTAATCATTTCTCTGTAATGCTTGGCCTAAAATAAACATCTACCTATTTTTTAGAGTCTTCCAGATGCCGAAGAAATAAACGAGCTAATCTTAAAAGAAGATGTAAAGCTGATCCTCCACTGCACTAAATCAACTGCTTTACTGTTAACTTCCTGGCTGGGGAAAAGTTGTATATTGTCGATAATTCTCCAAGAAGGAACACCAGTGAACAGCACAGACATTTTTGGAAGGTATAAATATGATAACTCATTATGTTCCCTTCCTTCAGAATTATTATTATAACACGTTTCATCCAATTTGTTTTTTTCAGAACCGGAGTGCATCTAGCCGCATACGCAGGGAAGTACGACTGTGTAAAATTGTTGCTAGAGCACGGGGCTAAAGTAAATCAAAGAGATGACAGGAATCAAGTAGCGCCTCTGCACTGTGCCGCTTCCATGGCACACCTGTCGTGCCTAAAACTTTTAATAAAATATGGGGCGGACGTAAACGCTGGTCTAGATCAAAGAAGTCCACTACACTACGCCGTTCAAAGTTCAGCAGTCGACTGTGTAAAGGAATTACTGGAGAATAATGCTACGCCAAACACCCCTCAGGTATACCTTTTTTGAATGTGCAATGTCTCCCCTTCATAACAGAATGAATTTTAACAAAAATTAGTATCAGATGAGCGATATACGTACTTAGGGTTAGTATTAAAATCAGAAAGTCAAATTGTTAGAATATTAATTCTTCTGAATTATTCTTAGCTTAAGTTCTTTTCTAATATTTGCGGGTGTTGAACAAATGAGTTATTTTGGAAACGCAGAAAAAAGTCTAATGAATTTAGGTCAGGCGACCTAAGTGTCCATAAGACAGGTCCGTCTCAACCTACGATCGATGTCTAATATGAGGTGATGCCCAATTGTGAATGTAGCTTATTTTGAACCTTTGTCTAGTAATTGTTTATTTTTAACTTTTGACTCGTTTCTCTCAAGCTTTTTGGGATTGGTAAATTTAGATAAAGCAAATTCATAAAATATACATGGTGATCCACTAAGGTCCGATAGGTACGATATTAGAGAAAGTATAGGCCCTAGAGCTTCGGGAAAAAAAATTGATTAATAAAATCGACCAAGAGAAATCGCTGGAAATATTTTTCAAGTTCATAGCTCGGCCACCTTTGCTCAATTTATTTATCATTATTTATTTTTTGCTCACTAATTTGCGAATAACATAACAACAAAAAAAGATGTCGAACCCTTTCTGGCGTCAAAATGTAGCTATTTTCGTGCTCTTCAAACTAACGTATAAAAAGTTTTATCCTGCTATTTCAGTTTTTTAAGAAAACGTGGAACAACCTAAACTTGAATAAAAAGCGCCAACAACACTTTCGTCAGAAATTTCAAACTTATAGTTACTATATTCATCAATTTTTTGTGTTGAATTCATTTATGTGAAGAAAACTATAGCACTGCATTTAAAATTTTTGTGAAAAATCCATAAAACGGGATTATTTTGAAATAACGCCATCTATAGGTTTCCATATTGAGGTAAATGACATTACGCATTCACCACGAGATAAAGCATGAAAAGACCTTTCCAATAATGATAACACTATGGGCTTTTGATGAGCCAATCCTTAAAAAAATGCATTTTTCTGATCAAACATTAGGGACTTCCCCTACCCTTTTTGTTGAGAGATAGAACAAAATGTCAATAACAAAAGTTATGCGCAATATAGCCTATACTTTTCGTAATATCGCATCTCGCCGACTTTAGTGGGACACCCTGTATATAAAAAAAATTAACTNTACATATAAAAATTATGCCATTCGATAGAGGGCAAAGTCAAATAAGACTGAAATTACAAAAAAACGGATTTCCAAAATTTCGGTTTTTTTTCAAATATTACGAAAACTAATCATGTTAGCCTTGATTTTTTAGCGGTATAATGTTGGTCCCCTGATTACGCAACTTTGTCCCTATTTAAGCTACTTCGTACCTCTTATCGTTTTCGAGATCCCTGCAGTGAGAAGCGAATTTGTAACAGCCTGTATGGTCAATTTATTTACATTGTGTGTGTGTAAGATTCATTACAAATCGTACAAAATGTGTGTGAATTCCACAATTTTTATACAAAATAATTAGATACAGACTTACCTAATACTTATAAGAATAGTATACAGGGTGATTCACAAACAAATTTGGCTTGCTAGATTTGAACGAACAAACAAACATACCTACATATGAAGTTAAACAAAAGCTTTTAAAACCCCAAAGTTTTGTTTATACAGGGTGATTCACAAATGGTGACCAAAAATGAAACCTCGTATTCTTTGGTGAATTTCCTTTAAAGTTTTTATCTAGGACGCTTTGTTAAAATGATACAGGGTGTTAAACTTGAAAAAATAGTTTAAACTTTTTTAAATAATTTAAAAACTAGTAGGCAAGTGTAATAATTTGAAATTGGGCACATGTGTTTATGTAAACATTGTCCAAAATCTGAAACCTTTTTTAAAAGAGGCCTGATTTTCGAGTAAAACTTAAAAAAACGAACTGAAAGCACTTCTACTTAAATACATGACAAACACCATTAGGTTATTTATTCGAATAAAAAAGTTAATACCATTAGTCATCATTTTAATGATTTTATTTGAGTAAATGCTCAAAAATACATCTTTTTAGTAACGAAAATATAACTTATTCGAAATTTATGGTTGCTTGAATCTGATGAAAAGCATTATTTATTCTTTCTTCTAACTGCTCAGCATATTGCTATAGCAGCCTACTATGTAATTTTAAGCCGCATTTTATTCGAATATAGAAGTGTGCTTTCAGTTCGTTTTTTAAGTTTTACTCGAAAATCAGGTACTTTTAGCTCTTTTAGATAATTAAAAGATGAATCCGAAAATATCATGATTGTTACCGTAAAGCAGTAGCGTACTATTTTATTTAGAAAAACATGCCACCGGTACCCTGTATCTCCGCCACGTCTACATAAATACTTGTGCCCAATTTCGAATTATTTCACTTACTAGTTTTTAAATTATTTGAAAAAATTAAAAATATTTTACAACCTGTATCTTTGTAACGAAGCGTCTTAGAAAAAACTTTGTACAAAAGACTCCCCTTAAAATTCATCAAAGAATACGAGGTTTCATTTTTGGTCACCGTTTGTGAATCACCCCGTAGATATCTTCTCTAGCTTTGTTTTTCATAGTAAGTATTTGAAATATCATAACATTTCAACAGATAAAGATAAATTTCTTCAAAAAATTTAAATGTATTGTTGGACTATTTCCTTGACAATAATATTGTGATTTTCCAGTAGTAATAAGAAATTATTCAAAATAAAACTAAAAATGGTAAGTCTAAATATAATTAATACAAAAAAGACATGGCATTATTAAATAATGTTCTCGTTGAAAGAAATATCTTGTATTCTTGCTGTTCTATTATCCTAACAAAGACTAATCACGTAGAAGTAGCTATTAAAAAAAGATCTTTTTGTATATTTAAGCCAGGACTATTTCATTAGGTAGCTTTCTTTCATAAGGAATTAATAAAGAACTCTTTGTAGTTGCGGCTTTTTTCCGTGTCAAGTCTTTGTCAAGGGTGATGACAACAACAAGAATACAAGATATTTCTTTGAATGATTACGTTATTTAACAATTTCAAACAGGCACGTGTTTTTGTAATCATTACATTTAGGCATATCCTTTCAACTGTCGAGTAAGTTAAATCATATATGTTTTAAGACAGATATAGATTTAACTGAGAGATGCATTTATCAGAAGGTGAAGAGACAGGCCCTTGGTATTATTTTGAATAATTATTTACAACTAGCTGTTTACTAGGTATTTGCTGCTAATAATTCATACAGTAGTTATTTCCTGCAATATCAACACCTTTTGTAGGATCATATTCAATGCAAAGTAATAAATCATTGCCTGTCAAGGGATCCAGTGCAGTACGGTTTTAAGGGGTTTAGAAATTGAATAATTTCTTTATGCATTATGAAGGGATGAAGGGATCAGTTCACGTCTGGCACCCTATTCCTGCAAAAACCGCTTTACTCTCATAAACTATTTATTTTAAATGTAATTTATTATAAATACAATTTGTTTTTTAAATTCCACATATGTACTACATTTCACGCGTCACTATTGTTTACTTGTTTTTTGGAGGCTGTTATCTGATTTACGACCAAGCTCGCCAGGTTAGTATTTGACGTATAACCGACCACTTCGTACACTCGATCCACCTGGGCGACTACAGCTACTACCAGAACACAGTGAGGTATTTCAGATTTTACATTTAATTTCATTTTAAATTTGAAATGGTTCATCTTAAGCCTACTAAAAATGATTTCCCTTTGATAAAAGCCCGACAATTTTTTGTTTTACTTTGTATCGAATACGATCTCACTATGTATAGCAATTTTGTCTATGGTTAGATATTTTTTGCATACTTAGACTATAGATCATTTGATAAGATTTCTTAGAAAAAAATTCGAATTAGTTTCAATTAGAATTCAATTCAGTTTAAAATAGAGAAAAAAAATAAGAACTTGTTCATGGTTACCTTTGGCTTTTGGGTTCGTTATAGTTGGAATAAAGTGTAGAAGGTTTAAAGGAGAAACTGTAATCTTATATACTGGTTGTTTGTTTCTTCCTTACATTAATGAAACTGTATGTATTTAATGACCTGTTAAAGTGTTTTGTATTGGATTTGTTTAATGTAATTTTCTAAATGACAGAAACATTTTTCGCACATTATTTTTTTTTTTGAAAGATATTAGTAAATCATCACTTTCGATCAAATAATCTGAAAGGATTTATGGCGATCCTAAATTCCAAATTATCGATACTTTAGGATGTTTTTACTGCGTTGTAAGTGTTGTTACTGAGAACACGCAGACACTGTTATAAATTTAGTAAATTCGGTGTAATATACACAAATAACGCAAATGCAAAGTTTATTTTACATTCTAAAAGCGGATTAAAGTTTGTTCTCCGAGTTATTCCAGTGGACATTGGATGCGAATGAATACACGCCTTTTTTCGCTTAATTTGATTAAAATTGATGTTCGTAATTGAAATTGCCGAAGTTTTGTGTAGTACGTGTAAAACTGTCAACACGTCAACGTAAAAACAACTCCTGTTTATAAGTGGTATAAGTTCATCTACCCTTGGTTCGTAAAAAACATTGGGTAAGTAAGCAATTAATATTCACATTATTAACTTCGCTTGAAAGTGCATCAATATTGAGAAATTATGTCGTTCAAAGGTATCTAATAATGAATAATTGCACATATTCCTTGCAAGATTTGAGATACCTATAAAATTTCTTTACCATTTCATTTTTGGTACATTTTTGTTTGGAAATCATAATTGAAATCACTCAACTTGAAGCAGCTGAATATGAACAGAGATTAGATAAGAAAGGACTCAACAATCTTGTAAATTCTTGCCACAGTCCGATGTACTTATAGAAGCCCAAAATTTGCAGGAAATGCTTGCAAAACATTGCGCTAAGTCACGCTGAAGAATTCAGGAAAAGTTATATGAACCTTGATATACGTATTATTATTATATTAAAATATTATTTAGTGAGTTATTGTTTCTCAGCTTGTTACATTGTTTTTCCTTCAAATGTATTGTTAAAGTTGATTAGTAAATAACTAAAACATTGAATTTCTATTTTTGTTTTCTACTTCCCTTAAGAATGTGCATATGAAAGGATATTAATTTTTTACTCGAAAACGAAGCAAGATATCAAAAAAAGTAAAGAGACAAAAAAGTTGTATTTTTAATCGCATAATTAGAAAAACATATGACACCTAAGAAAAAGCAGTGACGTCTCATGTTTACATATTAATATCAACAGGAGTGAGTCCCCGGACGCCGCTAGAATAGATAAAATAAATCAAATTACGTCAGAAGACGTCTACCGTATTTATAAACAAACATACCAAATTTCAAAAAATCGGAATTAGGGTTCTCCAGATATTAGTAAAAACCTTGTACTTTCTCTAAATTTCAACACCCTATATCTCCGAAACGAAGCATTTTCGGACATAGGTTTATAGGAACTTTCTTTATTCTTTCTTTATTTGGTGAAAGAAACTCCCGCTGAATTTTTTCGCAATATTAATGGGACACCCTGTATGCCTGGGAAAAATTGGAATTGCGTCGCTTTTAATGTTGACAAAACAAATTGCTTTTTGTTTATTTATTGTTGCCCTGAATTGAACATAAACACAGACTAGACATGAAAGGGCCCAATAATTTTGTAAATTCTTGCCACTATGCCTGATGTAAACATAATAGTGTATAAAAATATACCTGTACTAACGCCAGATACCGGTCAGTAAAGTTAAAATTGAAATTATAATCCGGACCGAAAGAGCTTTAGAAAAACAGCTGGGAAATCACCATTTTGCGACTTTTTGTTTCGGCAAGCTGAATTTATCCATATAGATGCTAAATATTATGTACAATAACATATTAGTTTCCACAGTCATAAAAATAGGGGGAAGATTGATATATTTTTTACATAAATCCACGTTTTTCACTTATAACTTTTTTCCGTTCATTTCCACGAGAAAACAGTAAAGTACTTTTTTTTCGTCTTCAAAAGACGTACAAAATTAGCACTTAGACTTTTAGTTTGAATTAGCTTAATAACTTTTAAAGTAAATAGTTTTATATTAATTTAGTCGAAACCGTAAAGATAACTACTTTTTATAGAAATTATTCACTTTTATAAAAAGTGCCTTGAATACGAAACATCCAACTACTACTCCAAACAACATTTTGACATTAAATTATGTTTTTTAGGGTTGTTATGCCGTGGACTATGGGCCTGGTCGCCGTCAGCAGAGCCTTAGCTAGAAATCTTTGACATGCCCTTATCGTTCTCGGGCTATGCTCTGTGGAGGCGGGCCTGCTATCAGAAACCCTAGGCCTGCCTTGATGTTCATTTCGGTTCTTACTGTTAGTTCTAAGGCCACTACGGATGCAACCGAATACATATTTGAATTTTCACAAAAAAGTTCACTAACAATTTTTGTATTTAAAAAATCTAACCTTTTTTATTTTCAGTTAAAAAAAATTAAAACCATAATACAAATTTTTAATATTTGGCAATTTCAAAACAAGAAAAGGTGGGACAAATTTCGCTTCAGCATATCTAACTTGTTCAGATTTGACTGACTTTGTATCTCTTAAGATAACCAGGATCATGATGCGGCTCGAAAAACGGGCATCCGATATAATGTCTCAAATTCAATATATCTGCAACTAGACAAATTTCATTTGAGCCCTGTCTGCGTATATCAAAGCTCACTTGATGTAAAATTGCCGAGTATGTCGATCATTATAAGTGATAGAAAGATGCTTCAAGTAGAATGTATTCATTTGAAGAACTGTACGGCACTTTTAACAATTCGGTAATAAAACTTTAAAGTTAAAAGTATAGTCTTTCCGAAGTCAGTTGAACATGCAAAAAAACGTCTGGTAATAAAATTTCATGAGTTTTATAGGCGTCTCTAAAAAAATTTTCTGCTAAAGGTAAAAAATTGTAATAATTTGTATATATGTGTAAGAAATTTCTAAGATATGTTCATTTGGCCAACAACATATTTTAATTATTTATGTCCTCAAACAATTTTATTATATTGGTGGTAAATTTCGTTTTGTTCCGTTTCAAAAGGTCTCCAAAATGCCATGTTGTGATAATATTAGTAAACAAAATATCCCTCTTATTTTTCCCTTTCGCAATTGTAATATGAATGATTGATAGAAGGTGCCTATAATAAATTAAAATTACCTGAATCACACCAAATTCCGCATTGCTGCACTGCACTGCTGGGCAATTTATCATCTTGTGTGATTTATTGCCCAGTAGCCCAATGCAACTGTGATCGTTTTCCTTTGCCCGCGCTCGCATTCTTCAACTGAGCGTATACATTTCTATCACCTCAGCGTTTAGTTCGACCAGACCTGTATATGGGTATGGGTAAATAAATATGGGAACAAGTTTTTCAAATATTTCAATGCCGAGTTGCTGCGTCAGTGACCTAACCTGGTACATTCTATCAATCTGTTGGTTCTTCAATTGATATCGAAAATACTATACTTTCAGTTGAAGAAGCACAAAAGAATTCATTGAAATACGTATGCAGTACTATAAAAATACTCATAATAGTCCTATTTTTCGATAAAAATACCTAACAATTTTTCCAGATCATCTCCATATGTGATTTATCAATGTTAATTACAATGGATAAACCGCCAAAAGTCCCAGTCGCCTTGCCTGAGGAACCGGTACTGAGATGGGCAGATGACACCGAGTTGAACATGGAAGAAACAGTTAGCATATCCAGTGAGGAAGAAACTGGATCAGAATATGACAGCGAGCAGAGGGCGCGGGCGAAACCGGCTCAAGAGATTTGGAACTTGGATTGCCTCTGGAAAGAATTAATGGTAATTAACGACGACCTAACGAATTAACGATTACCTTCAAAATTAAAGTCCTGGAAAAAGTTTTTCCGCAAAGGTCGAAAAATATTTGACTTATTTGTGACAGTGTCTCAAAAAGGAATAATTTTCTTGTAAATTTACCAGCAATATCTTACCTATGGTCCAGTGACAAAATAGTAAACCATGACTAATTTCATGTAGATCCTTGCGCCGCGACGGACAAGCCGTGTGTGAAATGCAGTCCATGGGCGAATCATTTTAGTGGGTTCCAAAATTGTTAGGCAAATATAGAACAGATAGATATGTCGATTTTGGTAAAAATTAGATTTGTCATGGTAGTTTCCATATTAAGGATTTAACGAGCAAAAAATCGACCTCGATTTTTTTTTAAACTTTGGAATGTTAATCTACTTTGAATTTTATGAGACCTCGTTTTCTGTTTTTCCGAAAAATTTTTGAAGCTCTCTGGCGCCATGTCAATGTTTACATAGTGACAGTGTTATTCCGAAAATGAAAATGCAAATTTTTTTTCAAATGGCCGTCATTTTAACCTAAATCGTCCTGTCGAACGGCTTTTTTTCAAAATGTGCAGAATTTCATCAGTTTTTACATGATTTCTTTCAGAATTCAAATTGCTTTAAAACTTTCTGAGATAAATGAGATATACGGAATTTTTTTTTAATTGATTTCCTCAAAAACCCCACCTTGTATTTTCACCAAATTTGGTTTTTCAAGGCCAAATACGCTACCATTTAGCTACAATATGCTAACTTGTTCCGTTAGGGAGATAAGTTTCGCAAATACAATATTTCTACACGTGTATGCCTCATATACGTTATGTATAAGCTCGTATCATATTTTAACATGGAAAATCATTTGTCAACGTAAAAAGAGTAAAAGAATAAGTATAAACCAACATTCAACATAAGTACAAGTGAAATAAAGTATATTTTGTTATTCGATATTAATGAGTTTTAACACTGAACCACTCATGTTTGTTTATTTTTCTCATTTAACTTTCTACATTTACATTTTCCTTCAGCATCAATCACTCGGATATCTCGCTCCACGAATACCGTAAATTGATTGAACTTCTTCCCATTTCTCGGTCATTTGAGTTCGAAATTTTTACAGTTCTTCACTTTTCAAAAGTATTATTCTTATATGTATGTACATATGTAAGTAAGTACCTAAGTAAGTTCGTATTTACATGAAAGTAAATATCTCCCGCATGTCTAGAACAGAGCAAGTTGGCAAATTATATCGTCGCTAACCAAATTGAAAATAAAAGAGAAAATCAAATTTGAAAAGAAAATTACTTTTTTTCGTTTTTATAATTTATCTCAGAAAGTTTAAAAGCTATTTAAATTCTGAAAAAAAAACAGGTAAAAGCTAATAAAATTCTGCACCGTTTCTTATTTTGCTAGTATACTTACTTACATGTAAGTATCTCCCTTATTTCCCGAGCGGAGCAAGTTGGTATATAGCATAGCCAATCGGCTAAAAATAGCTTATTTGGTCTTCAAAAACATATCCAAATTTGTTGAAAGTAAAAGGTGGCGTTTTTGAGAAAATCAATTTTGAAAAAAATTACTTTTCCGTTTTTCTCATTTATCTCAGAAAGTTTTAAAGCAATTTGAATTCTGAAAAAGAAATATAGGTAAAAGCTGATGAAATTCTGCATATTTTCTTATTTTACTAGTATAGGCACTTACTTAGATGTGAGTGTACTAGTATACTTACTTACTTGAAAGTATTTCCCGTATCTCGCAAACGGAGCAAGTTGGCATATTGCCGTTCGACTAAAAGACAGCTTATTTGGCATTGAAAAACACATCCAAATTTGGTGTAAGTAAAGGTGGGGTTTTTGAGAAAATTAATTCGGAAAAAGTGACTTTCCGTTTATCTCAGAAAGTTTTAAAGCTATCTGAATTCTGAAAGAACCAGGTAAAAGGTGATAAAAATCTGCACACTGAAAATTTTTTTCAGAAAAACAAGAAACACAGATCTCATAAAATTTAAAGTAGATTAACATCCCAAAGTTAAAAAAATGAAGAGGTCCATTTTTTTGCTCGTTGAATCCATACCAATTAATATTTTTAAATTTTTCAAAAATGTGCCTTTTTGGCTTACCGCGGACTATGCTTATTATAGTAAATAGCAAATACGGGAACGTAAATGTAAACGAGAAACGAGTTATAGAAGAAGATAAAATAGAAGTTGTTTAACGGTTTTTTGATATATTTCGAAAAGTAACAAAACAATTGATACAAAAAAAATCAGTAAATAGATCTTTAAAGAACCTACAACTTTCTCATTTAAAATGTTTTTGATCGAAGCTATAGTTTTTAGTCACTTTAGAAAAACTATTTTTTGCAACTTTGTGCGAATTTTTTTAGCCATGTTCGCCATTTTGGATCGAGTTTAAAGAAGAAGAAACTCAATTTAAAATTTAATTTCCTATACGGTCATTTTTTTTCCAGGTAATAATTTCTGTAATCATTTCTCTGTAATGCTTGGCCTAAAATAAACATCTACCTATTTTTTAGAGTCTTCCAGATGCCGAAGAAATAAACGAGCTAATCTTAAAAGAAGATGTAAAGCTGATCCTCCACTGCACTAAATCAACTGCTTTACTGTTAACTTCCTGGCTGGGGAAAAGTTGTATATTGTCGATAATTCTCCAAGAAGGAACACCAGTGAACAGCACAGACATTTTTGGAAGGTACAAATATGATAACTCATTATGTTCCCTTCCTTAAGCATTTTTATTATAACACGTTTCATCCAATTTATTTTTTTTTCAGAACCGGACTGCATCTAGCCGCATACGCAGGGAAGTACGACTGTGTAAAATTGTTGCTAGAGCACGGGGCTAAAGTAAATCAAAGAGATGACAGGAATCAAGTAGCGCCTCTGCATTGTGCCGCTTCCATGGCACACCTGTCGTGCCTAAAACTTTTAATAAAATATGGGGCGGACGTAAACGCTGGGCTTGATCAAAGAAGTCCACTACACTACGCCGTTCAAAGTTCAGCAGTCGACTGTGTAAAGGAATTACTGGAGAATAATGCTACGCCAAACACCCCTCAGGTATACCTTTTTTGAATGTGCAATGTCTCCCCTTCATAACAGAATGAATTTTAACAAAAATTAGTATCAGATGAGCGATATACGTACTTAGGGTTAGTATTAAAATCAGAAAGTCAAATTGTTAGAATATTAATTCTTCTGAATTATTCTTAGCTTAAGTTCTTTTCTAATATTTGCGGATGTTGAATAAATGAGTTATTTTGGATGACACGCAGAATAAAGTCTAATGGATTTAGGTCAGGCGACCTAAATGTCCATAAAACAGGTTTGTCTCGACCTACGATCGATCACTAAAAGTCTTTGATAAGTACTGACTTACTAATTGTCTAACATGAGGTGATGTCCAATTGTGAATGTAGCTCATTTTGAACCTTTGTCTAGTAATTGTTTATTTTTAACTTTTGACTCGTTTCTCTTAAGCTTTTTGGGCTTGGTAAATTTAGATAAAGCAAATTCATAAAATATACATGGTGATCCACTAAGGTCCGAGAGGTACGATATTAGAGAAAGTATAGGCCCTAGAGCTTCGGGAAAAAAAATTGATTAATAAAATCGACCAAGAGAAATCGCTGGAAATATTTTTCAAGTTCATAGCTCGGCCATCTTTGCTCAATTCATTTATCATTATTTATTTTTTGCCCACTAATTTGCGAATAACATAACAACAAAAATAGATGTCGAACCCTTTCTGCCGTCAAAATGTAGCTATTTTCGTGCTCTTCAAACTAACGTATAAAAAGTTTTATCCTTATATTTCAGTTTTTTAAGAAAACGTGGAACAACCTAAACTTGGATAAAAAGCGCCAATAAATAAACAACACTTTTGTTAGAAATTTCAAACTTATAGGTACTATATTCATCAATTTTTTTGTGCTGAATTCATTTATGTAAAAAAAACCTATAGCATTGCATTTAAAATTTTTGAGAAAAATCCATATTACGGGATTCTTTTGAAATAACGCCATCTATAGGTTTCCATATTGAGGAAAATGACATTACGCATTCACCACGAGATAAAGCATGAAAAGACCTTTCCAATAAGGTATAACACTATGGGCTTTTGATGAGCCAATCCTTAAAAAAATGCATTTCTGATCAAACATTAGGGGCTTCCCCCACCCTTTCTGTCGAGAGATACAACAAAATGTTAATAACAAAAGTTATGCACAATGAATCCGGCTATTCATATTTGTACTGTTTAATATACCTGAATAGGAAACATTTCTGATAAAAATTTAACTCTGTTTTAGTGTGTAGATTGCGCCCTCTAGTGTCCGGCCCACGAACTTGAAAACTATTTCCAGCGATTTCTCTTGGTTGATGTATTAATCAATATTTTTTCCTGAAGTTCTAGGGCCTATACTTTTCGTAATATCGCATCTCGCCGACTTTAGTGGGACACCCTGTATATAAAAAAAATTAACCACCAGTAACTGCTGAACTTGTACTAATTGTTTTTATTATTGTCTCAAAAATGACTCGAAAATGATGAATGATCTCGAAAATCGTTTGTTTTTCCAAATAAAGAGTACATATCTTAAAGAAAAATGAGAAAAAATATTTTCAGTTCAATAGCACATCTGCTAAAAAAAATATGTCAAAATGAGTCAGTCAGCTTCTGGATAACTTCTTTATTAAGGCTTAATGAGACCTTTTGGCGCGCCATATAAGTGTTTTAAACGGGTGTTTGCTGCCACGTTGATTCATGACGTCATTTAGTGTGATGGATAATCGAGATGAATGACGGCCCAAAGCATGAATATAGTAAGTAACAAGAGTCTAGAAACAGCTAAATTGACTTTGCTTCTAGACCGTCCATATACGCGTTTCTTTAGATTAGGTTCCATCTCGTCGACATCGGAATTGTAAACCAGTGTTGCCAACCCTCATATGTTTATTCTTCTCATATTTTCATGTTTCAAGTAGAAATTTTCACGGTTTTGAGGTTTTTCTACTTTTCATGCATTTTTGCATTGTCTGATCTTTTGAGAACAAATTCTTACTTTACCATTGACAGAACTGTTCTTCAGAAAATAAATAAGTCACTATTTAATAGTAGTTAAATCAATCCAAGTTATTAGTCCAACCAAATTACACTTGGAGAAAAAAAAATTGTTACCTGGACTTTTATAAGTGGAAATGGTAAAAGGGCTTATAATAAACCTAAAAAAATAAATGAGTGAGCAGGGGCGGTGAAGGGTTGATTTGGGGGGTTGAAAGGTTATGAAAAATTGTATCATCAAGGTATACTTTCATCAAGTTTCGTCAAAATTAAATTATTTTTGCGGAAATGAGAAATAAAAAACGAAAAATCAGAAAAAAAACTGTTTTTCGCATTTTTCTCCGAAATGTTGAGGTTATGTTAAAAAGTGACCTCCACAAAAGTTGTAGATTTTTGCATGATCTACAACTTTTGTATTAGATACTTTTTTGTTTGACGTCAACTTTCGCCAGAAATCCCAATGATACAATTTTTCATAACTTTTCAACCCCCCAAATCAACCCTTCGCCGCACCTGCTCACGCATTTATTTGTTTATTTTGGTTTTGACTATTTTAAGTATGTACTGTTTAAATATAGATATACTTATAAGTAAATTGTAATGCAAATTTTATAAATAAATAGTATACAACTTATGATACGTACTAAGGTAAATAAAATTGTAATTCAACACATCTATAATGATTATTTAGCACGCTTCTATTAAAAGATTTTTTAATAAGAAAAACTGATTTTTAAATTTCCCCCTCAAAATAAAAGTAAGATCCTTCGTCCACAAATTTCATGATTCATTGCGGCGCGATAAATTTATTTTGATCCTGGATATAAAAATGCAATGACTGTGTCAAAATCATCTGCACATTTTGAGGTATTTATTTTGTGATGTAATATTTTTATTGCAGTGTAAAAGCAAAATTGATTTGTCATGTTTTCTCATGTTTTTTTTTGGCCAATTTCATGTTCGCCATTTTGTAATTGTCAACACTGTTGTAGACTAGACGGTAGACGGTCGAGAAGCAGGTTGTGTTATGTGTCGCACTAAATGACGACACCATGCGTTACAGATATGATAAAATTTAAATTTTTACATAATTTTAAACATCAATAATTAATTTGTAGTACTAAAGATTTTTAACTTTTAGATATTCAGTGAAGCGCCACTGCATATCGCTGCAGGCTTGGGTAACATCGAGATAGTGAAACTGCTCCTTGAATACGGCGCGGCAGTCAACGTGCAATGCGGAACGGACAAGATGACTCCTTTGCACTTATCCGCAGAAGACGGCGATGCGCAATGCGCCAAGCTTCTGATCGAAGCTGGAGCTTTGGTCAATTCGAGAAACTACAAATGCCAAACGCCCCTTCACTTGGCTGCTCTTTCTCAGTGCTCGGAAACATTGGAACTGCTCTTGAATAAAAGAGCCGACCCTAACGCGGCAGACTCAGACGGCAGGACGCCGTTGCACAGTGCCATCGTCAAAGTATCAAGGTCATGCGAGTGTGTGAAGCTTCTTCTGAATGCTAGAGCGCAAGTGAACAAACAAGATGCCTTCGGGTATACACCGCTACACTTGGCAGCGCTAAACGAGTTTTCTCACTGCGTTATGTTACTGATAAACTACGGGGGAGATGTGACCGTAAGGACGAATGGTGGAATATCCGTTCTTGCCTTCATCACCAGAAAAACACCAGACGTCATACCGAAATATATCGAGAAATTCGATTCATCCATAAAATTAAACGACCACGAGCTAGGGGATGTCGATTGTGAACTAAAGTTAGATTTCAGAGTCTTAGTACCCACGATGGGCAACAAGGAAACTGAGTTACTGTTAAACTTCATAGAAGTGGGATATAAAGACGTTCTGAAGCACCCTTTATGTGAAACTTTTTTGTTTCTAAAATGGCGACGGATACGCAAGTTTTTCTTATTCAGTTTGTTTTACCATGCGATGTTTGTGTTCTTATACACCATTTACATTATTGGCGTTTATTTGAAGAACTGCCCTTCTGCGAAATCTTCCTTTTCAATATGTTGGGTACCTAGTTACGTGAAAAACATAGGTTACTTCCTCATCTGCTTAAATATCCTGTTGCTCGGAAAAGAACTCTTCCAAATTGCCCATTCCTGGTTCATTTACTTAAAGGAATGGGAGAACTGGTTGCAATGGATGATAATAATAAGTGTGTTTTGCTGCGTTCAACCAGTGCCGAATATGAACGTTGAACAGGACGTTTACGAATGGCAGCACCACGTCGCGGCTATTTCAATATTCCTAGCTTGGGTAGAGCTGATGATGATCGTGGGGCGTTTTCCAATTTTTGGGCTGTACATTCAAATGTTTACGACGGTGTCTGTAAATTTTGGAAAGTTCATGGTTGCCTATACTTGCCTTTTTGTTGCCTTTGCCCTTAGTTTTGGAGTAATTTTTGCGAATTATCCCTCATTCGATGACCTGAAGTGGGTTCTTCTGAAGGTGATAATAATGCTTTCAGGAGAACTGGAGTACGAGGATGTATTCTTTACTCCGGAATATCCAATTAAATATCCTTACACAGCCCACTTGATGTACCTATGTTTTGTGTTACTGATGACTATTATTTTGACGAATCTTATGGTTGGTTTAGCAGTAAGTGACATCCAAGGGCTGCAAACATGTGCAGGATTAGACAGACTGGTCCGTCAAGCTGAACTAGTCGCGCATTTGGAAAGCATGCTGTTTTCCAAACTTCTCTCCTTTGTACCGCACAAACTGATGAGGTTTTTCCACAATAAGGCTTTACTGTTAAAATCTCAATTTCACTGGGCCTTGTACATAAAACCTAATGATCCTAGAGAAGAACGGATACCAAAAGAACTTATTCGAAATATATACCAATTAGTCGTTGAACGTAAGGAAAGGCCAAAAAGTAAAAAGACGAAAAAATTCAACAGAAATTTGCAGTTTGAAACGATTTCTCCGAATTTGTCGAGGATTGGTTCATGGAACAGTAGCACAAATCTAAATGTTAATAATGTGATTAAAACACAGTTGGATGAAATTAATAGGGAGTTTATAGAATACAGCAGATTCTTTAGACAGAGGATGGAAAAACTTAACCAGCAGATTTTGATTAATCCAAAATAGAAGATTGGAACTAAAATATTTTCAAAAACATTGAGAACATTTAGTAACGTTATGTGATTTACTAACAAAGATCCACTGTATAGTAATAAAACTATTTATTTATTTAACAAAAAAAAACATGTAACTGATCATTTGTAATAAAATTTGAAATTTAAAAACACTTAATGATTTTGTTTCTAATGAATCACTGAGAAAATATCAATATTTTCTAATAAGTACATAAAGTAAAGTGTATAAGTTATACAAAATCTTAATGTATTTTTTAACTATACTTCCATTATATTTTTAAATATATGTATTTGAATGATATTACATGTTTGTAGTTTTTTTTTGTTTTTGCTATCTAGTTAAATTATGAAGGCAAAAGGTTATGTGGTGAAAATGTTTCATTTTATCTTTATTTACATATGATCTTTTTATAGTGCAATAACCTCAACAAATTGCCTAAATATATAATGAAAACATAGGCAAATGTTAATAATATTAACTTAAACACGCTGTAACTCCAAATTAAGTAACTTTGGACTAAAGTTTATTTAATGGATAATATACATTCAAGTTTATGCAACTCACAATTCATCAGCGTGTCATGAATATACTACTGGAATATATTTTCTATAAAATCAATGGTGCACTATTTGCATAGTATATTAATTGCATTTTAATATAGAACCTATAAATGATTACAAACCATGTGATCAATAATTTTGTTTTAAACAGTATTTTATTTCCTTCACGTTGGCAATTCAATTTTGGAAAATTAAAACAAAAATATCAATATTGGGTACATTCTGTTTCACCAACAGGTGACTGGTGAAATTTTTCGGGATATTTTATTCAACCAATCAGTGATCGCATTGTCTCAAGCATAGACGTAGCAGTTTGTCATTGTTCATTGTAAATGGATTATTAATAATCTTGATGCCAAGATCACGTGACTTGTAATAATTTATGAAGGTTCTAGGTATATATTCAACATATTAATATAATTATTTAATTTTTAGTTTACCAAAAACCATAAATATGTCAAAACTATTCATATTAAGAAAATGTCTGATGAAATATTCCAATTTAAGACAATTTTTGAAACCACCAATAAAATTATTCATATTGTCTCTGACAGGTAGTTAGTGGTGATACCGTATACATATAGGTATATTTTTTATATTTATTACTAAGAAAATATCATTCTTACCAACAGTTCGCAGGTGTACGTATCACCATTATCTAAAGTAATTTGTGTGACATTTTCGTGGTACTCCGGTAAATGATAGTCCTTTACCCTGGCATTATATTGAATCTTAACTTTATCAACTGTTTTTACTTCTTCATTTACAGCCGCTATTAATAAATCATTTTCTACAATATATGAGACGTTATCAGTATTTTCTTCTTCACCAAATGTAATTGAAGCATCTGATACAGCATCCCAAACCTAATAAACTTAAAATCTATATCAAGGTAATAAGAATAACTATCTTCTATAAAATACCTGCAGTCTTTTAACAGCTGCATATCGACTAGCTTCGATGTGTTTCCATGCACCGATGTAATTTAGTAATTTATAAGTTCCTGGATTTATAGATACTACCCTATTACTATATTTCTCTGGAAGGGACCACACTTTTTGTTTACCAGCTTCCAACAACAGTATGTGTTTATTTGCCAATTTTGCATTTTTGCCTACAGAAACGAATTTGGATACTTACGTACAAGTGAATAAACAGTTAAAACATTACCCAAGGTACATGCTAATGTTGTGCCAATCATTCCACCACCGGTGATAATAATATCGTAATGATTTTCATTTCTGTTGGATGATAAACCCCTTTCGACAAAATTTGTAAGTGTCCTACGAAGCAGAGGTTTTACGATGGATGATTTATTTCTTACAATAAGCAAAAACATGTTTTAAAAGGTTACGATAACTGGCATTGGTTTCACTGCTTGTTTATTACGATTATNCATAGTGTAGTGATTAACGTGATATTGTTATTATAAAATAATGAATGAATTACTGTAAAATAATTTTAGTAATTATTTATTTTATGCGAGTCTCAAATTTTTATGAAATTTTACGAATTCCCGTCATTTCGAGATAGCTGAAAACGAAGATGAGTGAAGGCTATTATAAAACAGGACTGGACACTAGCAAGTACATTGTAGTATACAGGGTGTTTCTTAATAACGTGCTAATATTTAAGGAAGTTATTCTTGGGTCCATTTTAAGAAAAAAACTTCATATGAACATACATAAAAAAATGTTTTTTCATAAAACTTTAGCACCCTGTAGTTCAAATGTTAAGACTTTTAGGACATTTGTTCATATGAAGATTTTTTCTTAAAATGGATCCAAAAATAGCCTCCTTAAATATTAGCACGTTATTAAGAAACACCCTGTATATTGGCGGTTTCGTAATAACAAGTTCTCTAATAAAGCCAATAAAATGTGAAGACTATGTAAAAAGTTTAATGTCAAATACACAGTATTCGTACAGTCAATTTTTATTAAAGATCGTGGTTGTTTGACTTATCCATCTCGAGATGTAGTAGTAATATGCCAAGAAACAGAAAAACTAATAAAAATTTTTAATAATGATGAAAGTAGAACACCTAGGCTACAGAAAAATAAAATTGTTTATCATGTATTAAAAAACTTTCTGAATGTGAACATATTTGAAAATTTGCATGAACATCAATATGATAATTTAACAATTGTAATCATTTAATTGAACTTGTAATAGCTGTTTTACATTGACAATTTATTCATCAATAAATTGACACATAAATTCACGAATTTATTGGTAAACAGTGTGGTTTTACACTGCTACAAACTTTGTCAAGTTTTTGGACACAAGAGTCAGTTCTACCAACAAATAAAATTAAAAATAAATTTAAACAATGTCACCTTTCCACTCATAATTGTAGTGATACAACAGCGGTACCGTTCTGACACATATTACACAATAAATATTAGTGTTTGTAAGTAACAAATCAGTAAAAACAATGCAAAACTAATACGACGCCACACANATGAACATCAATTTGATAATTTGCCTAACAATTGTAATCATTTAATAGAACTTGTAAGGGCTGAATGTGAAAAGTATATCGATGTACGAATAAATCATGAAGTCAAATTATTTAATTCGGTAAAATCTACGAAAAGACAAATATTAAATAAATTAATATTATTTAGAGGATAATAAATATATTTAAATTATTTTGTAGTTTTATTTAATATGACACTAAAATATACTATTTTCTGAATTACAAACTTAAAATTTAATATTTGTCATAAGATGCAATATAATGTTTAATATGTAATAAAAATATTACTTAATCCGGATCTGCTTAAAGATGCGCGCGATCAGATTGCCTTCCACACTCCACTTCCCCGGATTTGGCATTCACTATCACTGGTACCCGTGCATTGGAATTAGATACGGTCAGTCTAGATGGTCTGTGATAATATACATTCAAGTTTATGCAACTCACAATTCATCAGCGTGTCATGAATATACTACTGGAATATATTTTCTATAAAATCAATGGTGCACTATTTGCATAGTATATTAATTGCATTTTAATATAGAACCTATAAATGATTACAAACCATGTGATCAATAATTTTGTTTTAAACAGTATTTTATTTCCTTCACGTTGGCAATTCAATTTTGGAAAATTAAAACAAAAATATCAATATTGGGTACATTCTGTTTCACCAACAGGTGACTGGTGAAATTTTTCGGGATATTTTATTCAACCAATCAGTGATCGCATTGTCTCAAGCATAGACGTAATGGTTTGTCATTGTTCATTGTAAATGGATTATTAATAATCTTGATGCCAAGATCACGTGACTTGTAATAATTTATGAAGGTTCTAGGTATATATTCAACATATTAATATAATTATTTAATTTTTAGTTTACCAAAAACCATAAATATGTCAAAACTATTCATATTAAGAAAATGTCTGATGAAATATTCCAATTTAAGACAATTTTTGAAACCACCAATAAAATTATTCATATTGTCTCTGACAGGTAGTTAGTGGTGATACCGTATACATATAGGTATATTTTTTATATTTATTACTAAGAAAATATCATTCTTACCAACAGTTCGCAGGTGTACGTATCACCATTATCTAAAGTAATTTGTGTGACATTTTCGTGGTACTCCGGTAAATGATAGTCCTTTACCCTGGCATTATATTGAATCTTAACTTTATCAACTGTTTTTACTTCTTCATTTACAGCCGCTATTAATAAATCATTTTCTACAATATATGAGACGTTATCAGTATTTTCTTCTTCACCAAATGTAATTGAAGCATCTGATACAGCATCCCAAACCTAATAAACTTAAAATCTATATCAAGGTAATAAGAATAACTATCTTCTATAAAATACCTGCAGTCTTTTAACAGCTGCATATCGACTAGCTTCGATGTGTTTCCATGCACCGATGTAATTTAGTAATTTATAAGTTCCTGGATTTATAGATACTACCCTATTACTATATTTCTCTGGAAGGGACCACACTTTTTGTTTACCAGCTTCCAACAACAGTATGTGTTTATTTGCCAATTTTGCATTTTTGCCTACAGAAACGAATTTGGATACTTACGTACAAGTGAATAAACAGTTAAAACATTACCCAAGGTACATGCTAATGTTGTGCCAATCATTCCACCACCGGTGATAATAATATCGTAATGATTTTCATTTCTGTTGGATGATAAACCCCTTTCGACAAAATTTGTAAGTGTCCTACGAAGCAGAGGTTTTACGATGGATGATTTATTTCTTACAATAAGCAAAAACATGTTTTAAAAGGTTACGATAACTGGCATTGGTTTCACTGCTTGTTTATTACGATTATTTGATTTATATTAATAAGAATAATAATTAATAAACATTATCATAACCTTAGATTTTACTGTTTTGATTTTTGATATTTAAAATTTATTTTGGAAACACTGTCAACAAGTGTCAAGAAAAAGGACAGCAACTTTGAAAAATTAAAACAACACAAAAATAAATGTTCCTAAGTGAAATGGATATTATTATGATACAGGGAAATAATGGACAAGGGTATAATATTTATTTATTATGAGCTTCAAAATAAATTCCTACATACAAGGTTTTGGAAATAGCTAATAAATATTGAGGTAGCTAATTGTAAAAGAAATTATGTACATGCCTTCAAAAAGTGCTTTCTAGATAAATAAAATATGTTTAAGTAGGTACCTATGTAGGTATCTAATTTTTTTAATGATATTTTCAGCACATTTTATTGTTACACCTAAACGTATTTTTTTTAATTAAGTAATCATATACAGGGTGTATTTACATTTAAATCAAGAAACACTAATAATATCTTTATGATACCTTGAATACGATAATTAGGTTAAATATATCTTAGTCCAAAGTTGCTTTCATTTGCAAGTCATAGGATATTTAAAGTTTTTAAAAAACATTACAAATATGTAAACAATTCGAAAGATATTTGACTCAGATCAATAGAACTAAATAAAGGTAAAATTGCACTGAATTTACATACAATTATATCAACCAGTTGTAGAGATACTAGGAGACACCGTAAAAAAACTTAGAGTTTGATGTTATTGAGTATTTTTAGAAATTCAAAAAGGTCATTTATTTCCCAATGGTATTTCAAAGAAAAAAAGCTGTTCCATTTTATTGGAAAAAAATAACTCAGTTTCATATTTTGTGCACAAAATTTGTGCTACTTCGTTCAGATATACCCTGTAGAAGGCAAAATTAATGTTATATTTCTAGAAAATGGCTGTCTATTTAAAGTCGAAATATAAAAAAATTAATTAAAGTATGACCGTAAAAAGTATCTATACATTTAAATATAACTACCTATTAACAAGATTTTTGTAAATAGTTTTATGTCGACGTATTATTCCATCTTCATCAAAATTAGGTGCCTAATACTTACCTCCTGAAACATTTTTGTTTATTGATCGCTTATTATCCGTATTATCAATTGTGAGGTAGATTTTTTAAAAGCGCGTCCATATTTATTTGTATCACTCATTTTATAATTCAAATTCATGGTTAACTGCAACAATTTTTTAATGAAAAAAATTAGAAAGGCACAGATGATCTATCTTGGGAAATAAGTTTTTCATGAAGACGACTGATGACAATTAAATTCTGCAAATGGTTTTATATTTTCTGTGGCTTACATGTCACGTGGGTTATAATCATTTATGAAAGATGAGGATTTACTGAAGTACGTTTTGTACGTAAAATTAAATGGAGAGTAGGTATGTTTGGATAAAAGCGTTTTCGCGAATTTTGACAAATTGCCATGTTATTGAACGAAAATATAATGAAAATACCAAACAAAAATTGTTTTGGATGCTCTCTGTATCTCAAGAATCAAGCCGTTGCGGACCCATGTTCATATGAACTTTTTATCTTAAAATTAGTCAAAGATTTAATGTTTGATGTTTGTACAAGTACTTAATAAACACCCTGTATAACCTATTTGCACTGTGTGTATTTTCATTCTCAGAAATATATTTTGTCTTGTTACCGCTAGGAAGAACAAGATTGTAAAACTTTTTTTATTTTTAACAGTTACTGAAATATACACCACTGATATGTATAGAGCGATTTTGCAACAAAAAATCAACTGTAATTTATTTTTATGCAAAACACATGCCTATAAAAATGTTTTATCTTTTATTGCGTTTTTTTTTTTACAATATTTGGTACATGTAGGTAAACATGTTATTCCAAAGAAAAATGCATATGTTGAAAACTGAACTTTTTAAAGTTGACTTGAACACTATCAGTAGCTGCTAAATTTTTACACCGTATGAATAACAGCGGATCAATAATTTGCCTCCATGGCAACTATGCGCTAGTCCTACAGCTCGTATAAACAAGTACGGTATACAGTGGGTGAAGTACTGAAATGTACAATCATACTAATTCGGTATTCAATAATTCCTGCCTCAAAGTGCCCAGGAATCCAAAAAGTGACCAACCGCTTCCTGCTTACGAACAAAAATACCTAAATCAATTAGAAAATCAATTCAAGAAATTAAACCTACAGCCTGAGGACCTCAACATGAAATCCAAGAGGGGTGAAGTGAACAAAGAAACGATCAAATCGTTCCTGGAATTTTTTGGAAGTATTCCTGAGTACGACGACATTAATCACTTGTCCAACAAAGAGTTCTACAAAAAATTGGAGAACTTGAAAGAAAAGCAAAAGTTTTACCAGGAATATTTAATGAATGAAATCAAATTTGACTGTAAGGATACAGAATGGATCGAGGATTACAAGAACCTAAAACTCGGAGGCAAAGATACAAAAAACAAAAAGAAGAAAACTAGCCTAAAACCTTTCTGTGCTACACCAGTGTTAAATAAATCCAACAATCTAAATAAGACTTTTGATATTGAATCCATATTTTCAGATAAAGAAGTGTTAAATAAACCCCCATCTAGGAGATCAGTAAGAATAGAAACCCCTAGCGACAAGTTATCAACAAATATTACACCCGAACCAAACTTCAGGCCAAAATCGAGGGCCAATATTTCGTCAGCTGGCTCAAAACGTGGTCCCAATGACATTGATTGGGACGATATTAGCATTGAAAATTTAAATCTGTATTCGGATAGGAACACGCCGTTGCCTTTGGAAACAAAAAGTGCACCGGCAAGTCCCGTCAAAACTAAAAATACCAATTGGAGCGATGGAATTACAATACCTAAACCGTTTCAAATGACTGTAAGGTAATCGCATGTGCCATTCTGTTAAAAAACCATTACTAATTTTAATTTTCCTTTGAATAAAGAGACGAAGAAAATAAAATAGTTGACGAATTATTTATCAAAGTGAAGAAGCCGAAAGACGAAAAACCAGAACAATTCAAGGCCCATGACATCCCCATCGAGTCACAAATTCCTCTGTTCGATAAACTAATGGCAGACCAAGAAAGAAGGTAAAGTATTTTTAATTGCGTAGGGTTGTGTTAATAGTAACACATTTAAGGAGCTTTCTCATAAAGGAGAGAAGAAAAGCAGCCCTCCAAGCTCAGATGAAACCATTTTCGTTCACAAAAAGGGATGAAGAGATACAGGAACTGACAAGAGAAATTTCAAAATCGTCTCCAAATTTGTACCAGGATCCACCGCTTAAAGTAAAAAAATTTAAAGCTAAGCCGATACCAAAAAATCTGTTCAGCAATTACATTTACAAGAAAATGCACGAGGACGAATTTTACAGGTTAAATATATTTTCATTGACTCAGATATTGAATAAAATGTTTTTTCTTTATCTTAAGTAGATACAGTTAGGCCAAGCAAATAAAATTTTTACTCGAAAAAAGTCCTATCCGCGAGATTATTGTAAAATTGTCTAAAGGAACATAATACAAGACTTCTCTCATCTCGTGAGTCAAAAACTTTTATTAGCTAACTTTTCTATTTAAACAAATAAGTGAGGAAAACGGTTTTTTCCCTTTGCAGGAAAAACCATTAATTTTAGCGAAAAGTGACTCTCAGACAGCTTAGAGGGAGTAAAATTATCTACAAAACGAGACTTGTTAAATTAAAACCGGTTAATAAACAAAAAAGTTATTGCAAAAAAAAACAAGAAAAGTGCACATTTTTTATTTGCTTATAACTATCGCATTTATTGTTAAAATTTTATAAAACCTATGACACGTTGAGGGTTTTGTTATACTTTAAAAGTGTGCCAAATGAGGGCGCTGTAGGTGCAATAGTTTTCGCACAATTCTATTTGTTTATAGCGGAGGCTTCAAAAGTTATGAACTTTAAGCCTCGGTACAGGCGTTAATTTTCAACCAAACATGATTCTGAAAGTATCATCGTAATCTTAAAGACGTAGTTAAGCGACCTATTAAAAAAATATATCACCGTTTTTTTGACATTAAAAAACCGTGCGTTTTTCGCTTATAAACAATTTGAATAAAATTGTTGCTTCTTATGCTAACTCACCGAAAATAGATACAATGGATAGCTGGCAAAAAAATACAAATTAAAAAAAAGCACCCTCTACGACCAACAGGAGCCAAGATAAGATTTTTTTTAAAAAAAATCTTAGCACAATTGTTTATAAACATTAAGACTTGAATTTTTCGCAAAATAAAGTTTACGATTTGAACTACGATTTCCCGTGAATTTCATTGAAAAATATGGAAAATTAACGACTCACGAGTCCTTTGATGAGAAGGTACTCTCTAAGTAAACTGTCCGGATACTGGCAGTATGGTGAATTAATTTTGATTATGTTGCAAAAATTTTTTTTGTATAAAATTAATAATAACTATAATAAAAAAACTTTATATATTAAAATTTCAATAAGTTAAAATTGTAATTTTATCGACGGCATTGTTTTTATTAATATTTTTTAATTTTGAGAATTTTGCAATAAATTCAAATGCTTTTATTCTTTTTTAAATCTTTTAACAATAAATAATAATTTGAAAATAATTTGTGAATTTTTACTTTAATTTTACATTTAAATTGTAATTAAATAACTAAAAATTGTAAAAGTAAGTTTACTTTAGCTTAATATATAAAAATTACTTTTTAAATGATAGCTTCATTTATTTATTTAATAATAGTAAAATAATTCCGAAATTGAAATTTTAATTAATATTCTTTGTTTAAAAAAGTATAAAAGATGCATTTTTCTGGGGTTCAGGGCTATTCTACGAATTCGTAAATATGCCCATTGTTATTTTTTCGTCGAGCTATCCCAGTTTTAAAAAAAAGAAGTTTCTACGATGAATACAAGCGGAGATATTGCAAAATACCAAGTCTCATTTTGTAGATAATTTTACTCCCTACAAGCTGTCTGTGAGTCACTTTTCACTAAAATTTATGGTTTTCCCTGCAAAGTGAAAAAACCGTTTTCCTCACTTATTTGTTTAAATAGAAAAGTTAGCTAATAAAAGTTTTTGTTTCACGAGATGATAGAGATGTCTTGTATTATGTCCCTTTAGACAATTTTACAATAATCTCGCGGATAGGACTTTTTCGAGTTTCTCTTTTATTTTCGCTAATTTTCCTGGTTTATTTAATCATTATTTTAGAGCTATTCAGAAAAAAATAAGAGCGGAAGAAATGCTAAAAGCAGCTTCATTGCCCCCTTCTATGGCGAAGAGAGCGAAAACTAAGCCGAAAATGGACGTCTGCCCTCGGTCATTTCGAGATTTAAATAAGGAGGAAAAGTCGCCAAAGAAGCCCAAAAATATTCCAAATTACAAAGCTTATCATGACCAATTTGAAAAGCAGTTGGAGGAACTGAAAAATGAGTTTATATCTACTAGTCCTAGGCCATTTAAATTAAAAACTTCAAAAAGAGTAAGTCTACTCGTCTACTGTAATAGGAAAATAATACGTAGGGGCTTATTTTTATGACATCAAAATAACCAATGATCAAGTGTGTAATTTTACATAAAAAAATTTATGTGTGCAGACCTACTCAATAATATCAATTAGGATCTCAAGCAGAATTTTTCCAAAGCATAATGTAGATGACGCTGAAGACAAATGAGATCCAATAGTTTTTGACTGTTCCAAAGAATAAAACTTAAACCAAAAGATTTAGACCTAAAGTCAGTTGAATAATTTTTTTCCATTGAGAATTTATGATTTGAATGTAACAAATTGCATAATCCAAATGTTTCTTCAAACAGATTTTTAGCTCATTCCTAACAGTACCTATCAGTTCATCGCTATCTACAGTTTGTGTGGAGGAAATTTTCCTCAAGGACTTTCTTAATTGATACTATCTAGAAGTCTGTCAACTGGTTTTTGTAGAAGCAGAAGTTAACCAGACTACATTTGTGGTTTAATATTCACTGATTTCATTTGTTTTAGGGAAAAAGGCACTATAGAAATTCTTCCGCAAGCAGTAAGAGCTCTTCTACAAGGACGCCATCTTCTCTAGATTTCCAATCACTTAATAGGTCCAACTTGGCTGCTGTTTTGAGAATACAATCAGCAAGGTTCACAAAATCATTTTAGCTGCATTAAAAAAATTATACACTCCATTTTCATACTCTTGTTACATAATGTTTGTTTTGCATGATACACAAATAAAATGTACTGCCATGTCCAAATGTAGGTAATACATTTTTTCCATACATATATATCAATTTTCGTTCACTATCAACAATCTTACCTATGAAAGTGTTAATAAACCTTCTAATTTTATTATGCTTAGGCAACGGTTGGAAATGGATATGATGAAGAAGTTGGAGGAAGCCAAACTGAAGGAAGAAGCAAGGTGGAGGGAGAAACTGATGAGAAAGAAACCAGTATGGCAGGCATTGGCGTACAGCCATGAAGAAGATTTAGCCATGAGGCTGCAGCTGAGGAAGGACGAGGAAAGGTTACGAAATGAAGAGCATAGGATGAGAATGGAGATGATGTTGGGTAGAGTCAATCAGCAACCAACATTGTTTGAAAGACAAAGTCAGGTAATAAAATTAAAGTAATGTAAAAGATATCTTTCCCTGTCGAGAGTAAAACATACTCGTATGTTTAATATTTTAGAAAAATATATTTGAGCGTCTTATTCTGACTGGTCTAGAAATAAAATGTCGCCTTCATATACAAATTTTATAATATGGGTAACTTTTTCAAATTCTATTTGGTATTTTAGGTCAAATTTCCCAAAACTAGAGAAGAGTTAATTAAGGAATTGCACAGGGAGTATGGACCGACAAAGAATAGAAAGATGAGTATAAGTGACTTATCGCTGGTAGAAATGAAAGATGAAGCCATTCAAGCATTCATCGACGAAAATTTTACAAGGAAGTCATCTGATGACACTGATGGGAGCAAAGAGAGCGAAAATTCAATTGAAGAAAAAGAGAAATGCGACTGTTTTAGTGACGAAAATGATAAGTCTAACGAATAATCATTTACCTATTGTATCGTTTTCCAAAAATAAAGTTAATGGAAGTAATTAAACTTTTAGGATTTTATTTTTTATTAATTTAAGAATGTTCTAATAAACTGAACAAACAAGAATAAAAGGTAAATTTATATAAAAGCATTTAATCGTATTAAGAAAAAAAAGTTTATAAAAAAATATGAAATATTTGTTAGAAAAACAAAGAACATATTTTTCATTATTATCGTTTACATAAATATGAAGGTGAAGTTACGACAATGTCATATAAATCCAGTATACCATAACATAGAGGTTGTTCAAATTTGAATTAATTTTTTAATGAAACACATAATTTATTCGAAATAACTAACTAGTTTGCAGAATATTAAAGTAGACAAGTTGTGGTTAATAAGAGAAAAGAATATCAGATAAGTGATAAAATTTTGTTTGTTTACGTATCCAGCAATTTCAAAATGAGTTCCATCACGAAAGATGGTGTTGTTATATGATCAGTTGTAAATAACTTTTGTGTTAATGGCATTTTGTAAGCCTTTAAGTGAATACCCTTTTACATAATACTAAATAAAGCGGTCTGTTTAGTGCCTAATTGCTGTGAACAATTGATGTGTATGATTCTGCAGTGACACTATCATTGACAGCTGCAGTAGTTTCTTGTGAACGACTAGTACGACTAAATTTTACTTCTTTGATCTTGAATTAAACCAGTTTCTTCAAATTTATTCACAATATTTCATTTCGAATTGCGCTGTTTGTTGGACAATTTGTTTTTCCATATTTTGTACGATGTTTTCTTCCAACTTCACAACCCAACCAGCAAAACAGTTTTATAATTTTTAGGTTATACAACAATTATGTTTTATTGTATTATTATTATTGCTTTCGAAATGCAAATTTGTTTTATTATAGCGGCAACTATCATTATTTTGTTGTCAGCACTGAAATATTTTATAAATTTATCACAAGAACATTTTGGCAGTTAAATTATAAAATAGCTTATATGGTAAATATATAACTATTTTATGTACATTTCTGTGACAAGCTTATAAAACATTTAAGCTAATAAAACTAAAGTATTTTATAATAATTTTTTTAGTAAAGTTACATAGTATTTCTAACCGCGCTATAAATAAATAATATAATTGTTTTTTAGATGTGGGTCGTCAACCTATAAAATTATTCTATTAAAATATACTTTGAGACAATTTTACTTGTAAGGGCAAATAGCTGTATACAGGGAGAGTCAGTTTTTTGTAGTAGGATTTTAACAGTTGAAAGAGAATCATTTCCTATAAACGTAGGTCTTAGAACGCTTCGTTTGTGAGATATAGGGTGTTGAAAACAAACTTTTTTTTAAGAATTTTTCTTACTATCTCTAAAAGACCAACAGATATTGAACTGAAATTTGGTATTAATAACACATTAGTTATGGTGAATAAAACAAAGATATCTGTTATCCATTTCACACACCAGTGACGTGCCTGAGGTGGGTTACTGCCCCCTTTAAAAAATAATTCGTACACCCGTGGATTTTTCTGGAAAATAACTTCATTTCTAAATTTTTTAATCAATTCCAAACAAAACAGCTCTCTTTCAATTTTTTTGGTTAAATCCATTTGGCATGAAACTGTTCCAACTATATTGGTTATAATACATTTGTAATAAGAAAAATATGATGTACCTATGAAAATCAACAAAAACAATTAAATGTCGTAACGTTAACATAAGAATGCAAACATTGTGTAACGTGTGTGTCAATTAGTTCTTTTTTTAAGTTCTGTGTTTGTTTTATTTTGCCAAATTTCAGTTTAATATCTATTGGTCTTTTATCCCTATATCTCACAAACGAAGCGTTTTAAGACCTATGTTTATAGGAACTTTTTTTTATTAAAATATGATTCTCTATTAACTGTTATTACTCATTCAATCGTTTTTGTTGATTTTCAGTGCACATCATATTTTTCTTATTAATTCACAAATGTATTAGGTAGGTACCAATATCGTTGGAACAGTTTCATGCCAAATTAATTTAACCAAAAACCGTTCATTTAATAAAAAATTGAAAGAGACCTGTTTTTTTAGAATTGATTATAAAATTTAGAAATGATTATTTACCAGAAAAACCCACGGGCGTACGAATTATTTTTTTAAAGGGGGTAGTAACCCACCTCAGGCATGTCAGTGGTGTGTGAAATGGATAACAGATATCTTTGTTTTATTCACCATAACTAATGTGTTATTAATACCAAATTTCAGTTCAATATATGTTGGTCTTTTAAAGATATTAAGAAAAATTCTTAAAAAAAGTTTGTTTTCAACATCCTATATCTCACAAACAAAGCGTTCTAAGACTTACGTTTATAGGAACTTTTCTTATTAAAAAATGAATCTCTATCAACTGTTAAAATCCTACCACAAAAAACTGACACCCTGTGCAATATAATTATTATATAATGATATTATCAATTGTAAAACAAAAATACTAAAATAACAATTACAAGAGAAAAGCGTTTGACTGAAAATTACATTGGCAAACCATTCTACAAAGCAAATTTGAAACAGCAATATGGTGGGACATTGTTTTATTTGTGTCATAGCGAACGGCAAAAGTCTAGGTTTATCTTTTGCTTCAGCTTTCACAGTCGTTGTAAAAAAATAAACATGTCAGGTTTAAGCCAGTGGAAAAAATCAAGAAGTGGCGCATTTAGAAGAAAAGTAAATAAATGTTCTAGAAATAATTCTACAATGAAACATTTTAAATAACAAGGAAAGAAGTTTATTTTTTTACTTGCCTAGCAGTCTCTGTTCATGGTGTTTGATGCTAGACAATTTGCTGGCCAATTCGTTTACAGAGAAGCAAATACATTCATTTTTTTCCTTCATCATTAAAAATTGTGTATTTTGTTTAATCATTTTTTATTGCTAAATCATGAAATTTACGTAATTTTGAAATTAATTAAGTATTTAATAATAATATTGGAGAAACTAATTATTCTGCGGACAGATGCCCCGACCAGTGTTGAATTACATCCTCAATATTTTACGAGTATATTTTTCATTTTTTTATACAGTTTTTTTACTTTTTTGTAAAGGTAAATTATAAAGGTATTATTTTATGTATCAAGTTCTTGGCGAAAAAAATAATTTTTGACAATAAAGACGCATTCTTCAGTTGTATCCTTCTCCATATTTATTAACTGCCATGTTTCTACTTAACAGCTGACAAAAAACCAAAACCATTATAGACAAAAAACATAAATCGCGGCAAATTTAAAAAGTTCAAATTTGAACATCTTTTATATTTTTTTATAGTGGTTGAAAAGATTCTAAAATCTGTAGTTATCACTAATTCATTCATATACCATCGTTCTCAGTTATCTGATTATTAATTTAAGTACATAATATGATATTAAAGGATTACGCACAGCCCTAATGGCTAGGAAATCATGATCTATTTCTACCACCCAAATGGTGACAATATGGGAAAACCAAAGGGTTAATGAATAAATAAAAATTCCCGAAGTTTACCTGCATATAAATGAAGCAATATAAAGGTTCAAATTTAGTTCGATACTGGCATAGACCAAAGAGTTTACTTCTCTATCGAAATTAAAAAGGTGAAGTTGGGCAATTGACAAAATGGTTCGTTTGTTTTTTGTGTTACTGTGTTGTTTTGAATTTATACGCGAAATAAGTTCAGGTAAGTGATCTGAATTTCACGTTAATGGGGGTGTTGCTATTTATTTGTAATTTCAGTCGGGTAGAAGCTAATTACGTATTAATTTATTCTAAGTAATTATTGTGTAAAATAGTACTTAAGCAATTATTTGTATTTTACGTACATAGACAAAAATTGCTGCTCTTGATTCGATAATAGAATTATTTAGTTTATCTGTACTAGAATATTCAATCATATCATCATTTTGAATTAAATAAATAAAAAAATTATTATTTTTTTTAATTATTTTTGTTATTGAATATAATTTCATCTAAAAAATACTTTTAAATATTAACATTTCTTTTAATTTTTAGTATATAAAAAGCACTATTGTCAAAGAACATTTTAAAAAATATAATAAAGGCCGTGTATAAAATTTTATTTTTCTTTGTTTTTTAGGACCTATTACGTACACAGGTTGCAAGGCTACAGAGGACTGTGTTCTTTTAAGTAACTGTAAGAGTTACATGGTTTTCATCACCGCTTTAGAGAAACCCTTGAAACCATCCGTGGTTGAATTTTTAAAAGAAAAACAATGTGGATTTCACGAAGGCTATCCTAAAGTATGTTGTTCGGATCCTATCTCTTCAATAACAGGTAAGTCACTGCAAGTTAATATTTACTGTCGAGGATACAATATGCTCGCACTGATAACTTTTTTATTTTTGACCTGAGGAAAAGATACCTTATAGTATACTAGATATAAATTAGTTTTGTATCTAACGTTACGTTATATCTTGTGATATTTTTTATCGCTACCAATTTACAGCATTGTGAGAAAATTACAGAATAGTATCAATTTTTTTCGGATAAAACTTTTTAATGCTGTTCAGTTATATTTAAAATTTAAATAAAATGTATAAAAGGAAACAATGTAATTAAAATATACATGGTGGTCATTTGTTAGGTGTACACCATTTATATCTTCTGAACTAGAAAATATACAGGGTTGGTTAAATTACAAAAAAGTTGCATATTTTCATGCTATTTCGGATTAAGAAAAGAAATTGAAGGTAAGTTGCACCGTTCCTGAAATAAGCTGCAAATACTGAGAATTTGGCTTTTCTTATTTCTTCCATATCTTTTTTATTACTGAAAGTAGAGTAATGAAAGTCGGTATGTATAAAAAAGACAATATGCTCCATCTATTGCACGTTGAAACAACTTCCAGGCCTCCTAGATCCTTATGTTTTCATAATCATTTTTTCATTTTCTTATTTACGTCATATTGGATTTTTACACCAATAGATAAAGCATACAATTTCGAGTTCAACCATGTATAATGCTT